CAAATTGTATAAACCTCACATTTTCCCACATTGTATTTCATCCGCCACGTCTCCACCTATCTTTGTGTCAACTGGAAACTTGACAACAATACCCTAAATTACTTTGTCCAGATTGTTAATGTATAACTTGAATAGTTGTGGTGCCTGTGGAACTCCACTAGTCACTGGCTTCCATCCTGAAAAAGACCCCTTTATCCCCACATTCTGCCAGTTATGCAATCTTGTATCCATGCAATGGATAAAACAATGGACTCTTACTTCGCAGCGTCCTATGCGGCACCTTGTTAAAGGTCTTCTGGAAATCCAAATAGATCAAGTCCACTGGCTGTCCTTTGTCTGACTTGCTCATTACCATCTCAAATAATTTGTCAGATGTGACGTTCTCCATTTGACAAAGCTGTGCTGATTCATCACTACTTTAACATGCACTTTTGAAGTACTCCGCAATCTAATTCTTAATAATAAACTTTAAACACTTACCAATGACCAAGGTCAGGCTAACTAGTCTAGAGTTTGCTGTCTTCTGCCTCCCTCCTTTCTTAAGCAAGGGTGTTACATTAGCCATTTTCGAGTCCTCGGGGACCCTCCATGACTCCAGTGATTCCTGAAAGATCACCACCAATGCCTCTGCATTCTCCTCTGTTATCTTCTTCAGAAGTCTGTGTATACTCCATCTAGTCTGGGTGATTTGTCCACCTTCAGTCCTTTTCAGCTTCCCCAGCACCACCATTTCTGTGGTGGCCACTACATTCACTTCTGCACCTGACTCTTTTGAAATTCTGGTATTCTGCTGATGTCTTCCAATTTGGAAACTGATGGAAAGTACCTGTTCAGTTCCTCCACCATTTCTCCTTCATTACCATTTCTCCAACTTCATTTTTCCAGTGACCCAATGTTCACTCTTGTCTGTCTCACCTTTTTAGATAGCTTTAAATCAAAATTCTTGCAGTCGTCTTTGATGAGACTAGTTAGCGTATCCTTGTATTTCTTCATCTCCCCGTTTTGTTGCTGTTAAAGTTGTCCTCTGGATTTTAAACTCTTGCCCCCTCCTCTGGCTTCCCACTAACCTTCACCACATTGTATGTCTTTGCTTTTGCTTTTATGCTGTCCTGGCTTTTCTTGTCAGCCATGGTTGCCTCATCCTCCCTTTTGGGCATCACCTCACACCATTCAATGCACTTTGGCTCAGTCACTCATTTGTACTCAGGACTCATCCCAACATTTTGCCGCATTCTCTCAAATGCATCAGTGTTGTCACCTCTCAGCTTCCAAGTACTTCAGCTACATCAGACAGACTACCTAAACACATGGCAACAAAAGCACCCATAATCTCTTGCAGGAGGAGGTGGCCCATAACTGCAGAGTGTAACACCAACCCTCGAAGAGCAGACGTTCCACCATTAGCTGAGTCTTTTGAGGGAGATGATGCTCCCCGTCACATAACCGATTCTTAGTGAGGCTAGTGCATCCAACATCACTGAACGTTTTTTTTTCAGTCTTCTGTCCCTGCTTCAATCCCACTTCACCATCCTCCTAACCAGCACAAAGAGCAAGTGGTAATGGTGTGACTGTGGATCTCTTGCTTTCCACCCAGTCTCTGGCCCTCAATGTGTAGTGTGTTGATAGATAGTGAGGGGGTGCTGTCTGGCCAGCCAGTGTAGTGTCGTCATAAAGGGACAGGAGATTTCTGAAGAAACATCACCACTCAATCTAACACTTGCAGTCACCAGCTTGCTTACTGTGCACTGCACAAACATTGGAGTTAGGATCGGCATGTGATGAATCAAGGGCATGAGTAAGCTTTATTCAGGGCAGGGAGAAAGATAGTTTGTATTTTAGCTCACTGGAGGGTGCAGTCATGTCAAGCTTTGTTGCAGAGGACTCTAAATAAGACTTGGCCTATATCATAATTTTACAGAAGAATGCTGATGAATGTGCAATGACAGATGAGTACATTGGCAGCCTCTTATACTGTTAATGAACATTAGAAGAGAGACCAGCTCCAGACTGAGGCAAACTAGGAGTATATCTTCCCCAGCACTGGATTGATAGCCAGCCCAATGACCAGACAGGACTTGCGGACCTACCTGTAATCCAGCCCTCAGTTTATGTCTTTGTGTAGCCTGATGCTACAGTGTAAACTATGAAGTTATGAGAGTTGTGTTCGGCAGCCTGAAGCCTCCAGTTGATGCTGTTTATCGCTGTTTAAGGCACTTGCAGACTTTCTCCACACTCCAGTATTGAGGCAATGGCCTGGGGAAGTTCCTGTGACTCTGGTGTATAAAGCTGCTGTCCTTTCTTTAGAAGGCGTCACTTGTGATCACTTCCAGATTGCTACTCTGCCACAGTGTCCTTGCTGTGACCTCTCAACCAAGCTAAACAAGGCTTCTGAGGTAGTGCAACAGCTGCTTGAGGTCATCGTGCACGATCGTCATCTTCTCTCTTCCAACCACCCCTGCCGGCTGAAAGTTAGCAATTTTCCACCAACCATGCTGCAGCCTCTTAGGTTGTGCAGAAGCATACAGACAGCCAAAGGCACTTGCAAAAATGGCCCTTGGATGGATCATTATTTTTTATTAAGGGCTGTTTGCATATCGAAATTAAAGACCTGAACACCCCTCAGGGTTTCTCAAGAAACCTATAAACATGTTCCTACAAACATCCCAGTTTTACCAGAACCTGCTGTGTTTCTGACACAACAGCACTCTCTCTCTTTTTTTTTTTGGTTTTTTTTTAAATTTTCGACCTAGAAGTTATCTATGGAGAGAGAAACAGAGTCAACACATCTGGTTGTGTACTTTCAGTTGAATGTGAAGTAAGAAATGTGGCAGTTTCTTGAGGGGGCATAAAGGGGACAGTGGAAAAAGAACTAAAAGGAAGGTCTGTGATAGAGCAGAAGATGGGAGGCATTTAAATACGGAAATACTGGTGCAACAGAGCCAAAAGGCGTGGAAATGGAATAAAAGAAACAAAAGACAGGTCCGGAAAGTATGATTGATAGAATAATCAGCTCCCGTCCAAACCAACAATGAGATAAACATGATTAAGTCCAACCAATGGATATATAAAGGAGACAAGATGAGGGAATGGAGATCATGGCCAGAGATTGTTGAACTCCATGTTGAATCTAGAAGGTGGTAAAGTGCCTAATTGAAGAGTGAGGTGCTGATCATTAAATTACGTTAAGCTTCATTGGAACACAGGTGTAGGCCGAAGTCAGACAGCAAGGTAGAGAATTAAAATGTCGACTTGCTAGAATGTCACAGTTAGGCTTACAAACTGAATGGATGTGTTCTGTAAAATGGTTACTCAGTCTACGTTTGGTCTCTCCAGTGTGGAGGAGACGGTAGTGTGAGCAGTGAATACATTATATCAAACACACGAATGGTTGCTTCAGTTGTAATGAGTTTATGCAGTCTGGAATTGGGAGGAGTGGTTAAAGGGTTACATCTCCTGTGCTTGCACAAATTGTTGATTGTGGGAAGGAAGGATATGATTGACGAATGGTCCAGAATGTCATGAATGGAACAGTCCCTTCAGAGTGCTGAAAGAGGATGGGAGGAGCTGTGTTTGGTGGTGGCATCATGATGGAAGTGGCAGATGCTTTACACCTTGATTTGAGCCAGTACTACTCCCTGCATATTGAGATATCAGTCTGGATTGTCTCTGGGCATCTGCATATAGGTATTTTCTAATTAACCTGTTCAGCAATGTTGTACACCTCTGGAGTAGGTGGGACCTGAATCCAGACCTCTTGCACCAGAGATAGGGATACTACCCCCGTCTATCACAGACCATGTAGACATGTTTTAATTTCACAAATGTGCTTAAAGACCTTTACATACGTTAGCATTCCTTATTTACTTCTGTGCATAGTTATCAAATATCTGTCTCTAGTGTAGTGTTTCTCACCATCTCACCCATTTTTCAGCAGAATGTCAGAATCATATAATCAGTTACATCATGATTTACATGAATCCTGTACTGCAGCAGCAATGGTGGAGCCTTATCCACTGAATATGGAAGTTGGCCATGTGAAAAGTGAGGGCATAGCAAATCCTATTGTGGTTCTGGGAAAGGGGTGAATTCATAAGAGTGGGAAATGCATTGGGCTTAGTTGGTCTGTGTCCCATGGACGGGAAGGCAAAGTTGATTGAGTTAATCAAGTTCCTAGATTTTGTTTTCAGGTGGCAGCTGTTGATTTATTCTGCCATTCACACTTCTTCTAGACCCATTAGTTTTTTTTCTTTACTTGCCCCTTTGCTGCTCTTTGGCTTTGACCTTCCCATGCTTTCGGGTTGTTGATTTGCTCGCTGAGCTGGCTAGTTGTTGTTCAGACGTTTTGTCACCATGCTAGGTGACATCAGTGGAGCCTCCGATGAAACGACGTTATTCCACTCTGCTTGGAATTTATACTGTCGGGTCCGTTATGGTGAGCAGTGCCATTTCCGGTTTTGATCTATATGCGTTTGTATATGGTATACAAACCTGGTTTTGATCTGGTATGGTTTTGTATAACATATACAAATGCGTATAGATCAAAACCGGAAATGACACTACTCACCATAACGGACCCGACAGTATAAATTCCAAGCAGAGTGGAATAACGTCGTTTCATCGGAGGCTCCACTGATGATGTCACCTAGCACGGTGACAAACGTCTGAACGAAAACAAGCAGCTCGGTGAGCAAGTCAACAGCCTCATCCACAACCCCAGTTACAGATCTTTACCAACACTTCCCATGCTTTGTCTTCTGTCCGACCACAGACTTTCACTTTGTTTTTAACCCACACTTTTGCAAAATGTTTAGTCCTTGGCAATAATGTGATATGAGTTATTGCTGATTGTTACAATGAGCTTAGAGTGCACGTTGCACATATACCCATCAATAAAACAGTAGTAATCCATAGGTGTATGACCATGTACTGTCTAATACAACACATTCAGCTTTGTATAAAACATGTAATTCACATGTAAGTTCTTATTTTTCTCCCCACAGGCTGCTTGGCCCACTGTTTGGAATGAAGTAAAAGGGGGAGTCTCCAGTGCAACAACAACTGACAACACTAACAATGTTGTCAGTACCTTGCCCAGTGACCCCTGTAAGTGTAATAAAGTTTGGGTCAGGAATTTCTTTTGTTTCACATCACCTTTCATTTCATGCCAGCCTAACCCTTGACATAATTTGATGACCTTCTACAAGTAACAGAGGAGGCAAATAACCCAGTTGCTGCCTTTATACTTGCCTGTGTCTCTACAAACAATAGACAATATAACAAGAGCAAAGATTGGCCCTTTCCTGGAATTGATTAGGGGGAGGTCAAGGAGAGAACAAAATTTCTCTCTGATTTATACTTGACATGCCCTTCTAAAGAGTAATTAAGCATAATATTGCTGCTTGAGTATTATTGTAACATAGTGTATTTTCATCTCATGGCATTCAGTTCATGGCCTTGTGTGCTATCTGTTCATCGTTGAAGCAAGGTAATTAACTGAATTAGTGTCAATCCTTCCACTAACTTTCAATGTTGTAAACTATTTTCATGCTTTTAAATATCATAATTAACCTGATATGTCATGCCTCTGAGGCAGATAAGATCTGATCCTAGATCACCAGGCCCAGTGGTGTGAACGCTACCACTGCACCACATTTTTGGTGCTTTTATACTGTACCGTTTGGCCTGAAAATAAAATTCACTGCAATTGTTGATTTGGATCTGTTTCCCTTTATATGGAAGGTTTGACTTTGTATTATTATGATGATCCCCTTCTTAAAAAAATGTAAAGTTTCTCTGTGTAAATATTACCTGTTTATTTTGATAAGTGCGGACACTGGGAGCACTGCCACCTGCAAATTCTCCTCCAATCTGTGCGCCACACTGGCTCGGAACTAAATTCCCATTTCTTAACTGCAGTTGAGTCAATAATCTGGTTTTCCTAATAGCAACCTGGATGTACCCCTATGGATGGAATCCAATGATTTAAGTGTGTTTTTCACTGCCGCTCTTTTTCAAAGGCAATCGGGGAAAAGAAACACATTGACTCTGCCAGAGATATCCCATGAAAGAATAGAATGCAAGTTCGATCATTTGAAGACATTTACCCAGTGCTCATCCATTCACATTTGTTTCCTCATTTGGAGACAATCCAGGCTGATCCACTTTTGCAGCAGTGTTGAAAAGAACACAGATTCTGGGGTTATCGTTTAACACACCAGATAATGTTCTGAGTGGGATGATTTTCTCTGTGTTTGTTGATTAACCTGCTCAGAGAATGAGGAAAGCAATGACATTAGTATTGCCACATTTTTTGTCGCAATGCCTTAAAGATCACCAGTTCTTCATGACTATTACATCTGACCACTTTATTTTCTTTTCGTAACAAGAGGTGGTATCTTCCCATTCTTTCCCACCAGTTACTATCATTTCTTTCTTGCCTCCCATGTCTGTCATTACCATTGTTTCCATTCAAGCCCTGACTTGGGACCCAGTGTTTAATTTTTGTTTAACTTTTTAGTGACCATTACATTTTGTGTTAACCTTTTTTGGTTTGTAAAACCTTGATGGGAAGAAGTTATAAATCCCTTGTTGGCACTTCTTTTTCAGCTTCTTTGCAGGTCAACGCGATCACTGTAACCAAACCCTCGCCACAGTTTAGAAAGGCAATATTTCTTGCAAGAAATAGCTTTGGGGAAGTCTTCTCACCTATCAGATCAGGTAAGCAATGATTGTCATGTATTACAACTGTCACTTTGTGACCTCCATTGCTAGTTCCTTATATTAGCAGTGTTGGCTGAGTTGGTTACAGAGGTCCATTGCAGAACACCTACACTCGGTTCGCAATAAACAACTGCACCTCCCAGTCGCGAACCATTTCAACTCCCCCTCCCATTCCTCAGACGACATGTCCGTCCTGGGCCTCCTGCAGTGCCACAACGATGCCACCCGAAGGTTGCAGGAACAGCAACTCATATTCCACTTGGGAACCCTGCAGCCCAATGGTATCAATGTGGATTTCACAAGCTTCAAAATCTCCCCTCCCGCTACCGCATCCCAAAACCAGTCCAGCTCGTCCCCGCCTCCCTAACCTGTTCTTCCTCCCACTATCCCCTCCTTCCACCTCAAGCCGCACCCCCATCTCCTACCTACTAACCTCATCCTGCCCCCTTGACCTGTCCGTCCTCCCTGGACTGACCTTATCCCCTCCCTACCTCCCCACCTACACTCACCTTTACTGGCTCCATCCCCGCCTCTTCAACCTGTTTGTTTCCTCTCCACCTATCCTCTCCTCTATCCATCTTCTATCCGCCTCCCCCGCTCTCCCTATTTATTTCAGGACCCCCTTCCCCTCCCCCATTTCCGATGAAGGGTCTAGGCCCGAAACGTCAGCCTTTCTGCTCCTATGATGCTGCTTAGCCTGCTGTGTTCATCCAGCTCTGCACCTTGTTGTCTCGGATTCTCCAGCATCTGCTATCTCTCTCCATTAAGACCTATCTGGTTTTAGTGTAGTTTTAAGCTCTAAAGCTATATTTACCTTCAGCTGAATGCATCCCTGCGTATTAAAAGTCTCATCACATTTTACCTTTCTCCTTTATCACATACAAATATTTTTAAAGGGTTGCTTCAGGAAATTAGATTTCTTCAAGAAAAATGTTTCACAGGTTCACCTGCCGTTCCTCTGCTATTTCAGCTTGACTGTTAAACCATTTTAAAATATTCAGGGTAGCAATTTTTATGGCAGCAACAGAAGACCATTTCATTAATAGGCTCAGTCTACTAATTTGCCAATGTTATTTAATAATAATTGCTAGGCACTGCTCAAATTTAACAGGCGGGATAGAAGAGCAGGCCAGAATTTTAATGAGTGGAATAAATTTAAAGTTCATTGCACTCGGTTGTGGGCAGGTAGACATGTGATATGGAACTGGAACATGCCCTGAAGCCTTATTTCAGTTTTTTGTTACATAACAGCAAAAATAAAAATCTGAAAAAAAAAAAATAGCAAATGCTAGGTCTGGCAAATTGTGTGGATAGAGACAGTCAACAGGCAGTATTTTAGGCAAGTACAGAGGAGGGCAGGCACTAAGTTTCGTGCTGCAGCTGGTGTGCCAGTTTGCTGGTAACATCCTCCTATTTTTTTTTTCCTGGTTGTGAAATTAGCAGCGGGTAACTCATTAGAGTAGGTCAGTGACCACGTGAGGCCAGTTACAGGGGCTAATTGGGATTTTCCCCTCGTTTCACTGGTTTTGTTTATTTCCATTTTAGAGATGAACCATACAGACATTTCAACCACTGAATTCAGCTCAACATCTGTCAATTGTGCCTCAAATTGCTCTTCTCCGAGTAAAAGTGGATTCCATGTTGAGAAGCTAGCTAACCTTGCAAGGTTAGCTGTGGGAAATGTAAGCAAAGTATTGGAGTTGATAAGACAGATGTTCGTCACTTGCATCGAAGGATTAGAATTGCTGAAAGCTGAAGCAACTTCTGTGTATGTTTCTTTTCCTTTTGCAGACTTGTGATAGAGGGACAGACGTTTGTCGAGGTGGGCATTATGCTGCATAATGCCTAAAGTTTGGCAAGTCAATGCAATTGAATTGACTAAATATTATAAATCTTTTAATGTTGTACGTCGATATTCCACTTCTGTGTCTCCTGCTGATGTGTGGTAAAAGAGATCTGCTCTGGCAGCCTCTTCCAAATCCACATCCTCTATGTTAACTTACTGTGATGTTGGTGACTGAGTGCACCTGCAGTATCTTTATTCTTCCACGGGTTGTGGGTGTCGCTGTCCAGGCCAACATTTGCCCATCTCTGAGTATTCTAGAACTGAATCGGGCCATTGCAGAGAGGCGGTTAACTGCTCAACACATTGTTGGAGTCATATCTAGACCAGACCAAGTAAGGATGGCAGATTTCCTTCCCTAAAGGACATTGGCAAACCAGTTGGATTTTAGCAACAATGGAGGATTGTCTTGGTCACTTATTAATAAAAGCTTTAGATATTAGGTTTATTAATTGAATTTAGATTCCACCAGCTGCCGTGCTGGGATTTGGACTCCTGCCACAGAATTAGCCTGGGCTTCTGGATTAGTAATCCAGTGACATTACCACTACACCACTGTCTCCTTCAGTTTCCCAAGTTCTGCCATTCCATGACAGTTGAAATTCAATGTGGAACAATGTGAGTTGATACCTTTTTTGGTAGAAGAATGAGGCAGCAAGAGCTAAATGGTGAATTTTAAATATGCAAGAACAGCCAAGATTTGAAGTGCTCAAATCTTTAAAAAAAAACACAAACAGTAAGGTCTATGGGATGCTGAATCATAAAATCATGAAGTATATGGATCAAGCAAATAAGGTGAAATTGCTAAAGTGACAATAACCTGAAAGCTCCGATATAAGATGACTGTCAAAGTCATCAATGATGACATTTAAAATTTTTCTATGCAGTGATGGTTTTGGATTTGGAAGGCACTGCATGATAGAATAATAAGATTCAGTACCAACTTTTGAAATGGAATTAGATAGATACTGAAGGAAACATAGTTGCAAGGATCTTGAGGAAGAATGGTGGTTGGGGACTGGAATGAACCGTGCGACTCTTTTAAAAAGTAGTGCTGTTGCTGGTTCTGGGCTGAATGACTTCCTTCTGGGGTGTAATATTCTGATTGAAATTTTATCCCCAAGCCCACAGTCTGCAGTCCACCTCTCCCAATCTCTTAACTAAATCATTAGGTCACCTGTCAAAATATCTCCTCCTTATCTGTCTTGCATTTGTTTATTTAAAAGTTCCTTGGGAAACTTTGCTTTGTTAACTCTATCAAAGGGTAATAGAAACCTTGTTATCTGGCTAGGTCCAAGATGTCAGTGACTTCTGTGTCTTCCGTGGATCCTGATAGCTTAATATCAGATCGGCATGCCTGTTCACAGAACTGACTGCTCAAGTTGTCACGTTGGTGTTTGGGCAATTTGTGCAGCTTCTGGTCTCCCTCTGCGCGCATTAGATGTTGCAGTTCTGTGTAACTGGTCCTTAATGCATGCCAAGCCAAACTTCTGTGCTTGCCTCCACATGGGCTAGGTGGCTACAGTGATTTGCCAAGAGAGGTGGGTCTGTCAAGCAGAATTTAGTAAGGCCTTTTTATTACTTTTTGGAGGAGCTGGGTTTACTTGTGTTGTTTGCACCGTCCACCCTTGATGTTTCCCAGAGGCAGTTCCCCAAAAAAAATCTGCATTATATTCAATACGTTATATATTAATCTGCCATATTAATGCTGTCTTGGCTGATTTTGAGAAGTAAAATACCCTTCTGTTGTTAACATGAGTATTCGCTTCTCTCCCAAACCCACCCAATTCCATCATACCATGCATAGAAATGTTCATCAATGTCAGCTTATGCCATTGATTTAATCCTTTGCTATCTTTGAGAATTCCATTTAATTGTCTAGAAGGTAAATGTTTCTGAATTTGATCAGCTTTCTGGCAATCAAGACTTTAATAAGAAGGTACAATGTTCTGATATATTAAGCTATCTCTATGCTTGTCATAAATCCTGAGGATGAAAGCTTTGCTGATGTAAATGCAGAGACACTGAGTGCCTGCTTATAAAGGAACTGTCTAGCAGAATGCAAAGGCATTGAGTTGAAATCCCACTTAACACATCATGTCTATTTGATGTTGTCATATTTTGACATTCAGACAAGGCATCCAAGGATTTTGATTTTAGAATTTTTACTTGAGAAGTCAAAATACTGAATTGTGTTCTCATTGTAAATGGAGAAAATCACTTAATAATAATTAAATTGGAATTGAGAAGTGTTTCAGTCTTTGGCTTTAGTTCGATGGTGTTAGTATAATCCTGAAGAGGTCATGAACTGTCAACATCTTTGTCCCCCAGTCACCAAGGACAACAATAATAACACATCTTGAGTTGCTCTCCAAGCCTCCCACTGTCCTGGCTCAAACAAATGTTGCTGTCCTTTGTTGTTTCACTATTTAAATTCACCATCATAGTGGAAGTAGTCTCACTACAAAAAAAAATTCACAAAGAAGAAGACTTATTGCCATCTTTAAAGAGCAGTTTAGATGGACAATTGATGGATGGGCAATATAATAAGTCACTTGTGTCACCCACATCCCAAGATCTTAGAAATTGAAAGGACATCTATTGAAAGTTGGTGACTTTGAGAATCCTAGAAATGTTAGCACAGGAGACCATTCAACCCATTATATCTGTTGCAGAGGTAGCTTTGCAGCTAATCATGTGTATGACTGCTCCATCCTTTTTTTTCCGTATTTTTCCTCCTCTTTTTTATTCTTTCTCAAAAGCTTTAATTGCATTCCAAGTTGTAACAATGTATTCCAAGTTCTAATGAATTTTGGTATCTAACTTCCACATTTATGCTCTTTGTTCTGGTCTGAAATTTGTGCTTCATTGTTAATGATTCACGAGCCAACTGAGACTTGTCCACTATTACAGTTTCATGTTAACAATTTGTGTTCGATGTATATAAGAATTGGAGTTGACACTACAATTGATCAGCTACAATCTTACTGAATGGTAGACCAGGCTTGAGGATTCAAATGGCCTACGCCTACTCTTTCAGATGTTCATAGCACTCACATGATGATGGGGAAACAAAGGGGCATTTTATTTCCTTTCTAACCAAGTTAAAAACCTTCCTCATTTTAGTTCAGTGAAGATGCCTACTCGACAGCGGAGAGATTTGACCAAGTGCAGAGCCTACACAATTGTAATTCAAAACAGAAAATGATTGGTAGGTTGTACTTGTGTTTTCAATTCATCTAACACTGACAATACTGATACAGGAGCACAATAATCAATGTACCTAGAGTGTACAAAGATGGACTCTTGTAATTATGTTCTAACAATATAATTGGGGTGAAATTGACTCATCAGTCAATGGGTTACGTACATGCAGAATGCACAACATCACTATATACGTTTCTAGAGAACAGCAAAATGTATTCTTCAGTTTCCTTGCTTTACTTAAAAAAAAAAAAAAAAATGATATTCAGTGTTCTAAATGATCAAAATTCTTCCTGAAACTTGTTATCAAAATATAAGAAAGCTTCCACTGGGATCTATTCTTCTGTACTGAAACATTTCCAAGAATGTGAAATTAAATAGCATTGCAAATGGCCGTTGAACCCTTCTGTCGATGTATGTATCAAAAATACGATCTACCACTGTGTTCCAGAGGTCTGAGGTGGTATAACTGCCATATAGAAAAGCAATCGATCTGACTAAATACTCTGTAATGCTATTTTTTTTAAAAACCGAGGTGAAGCAAGGATAAATCAATAAACTTATTTTTTAAAATCACTGTTACCTTCAAAGCTACTAATTATTGTGCACCAAATGACTGGAATCTTTTTGTGGTGATTTCAAACATAACTGTACTCAATGAATTGTGTATAAGCAACAGAACGGCTGTGATCTACTGACAGCTGCTCACTGTCTATTGAACCGTTGATCAGAGTTACAGCAGACACTGGTGGGAGATGACTTGCATACCATATTGATTGGCAATAATATCCTGTCTCTGTTTTGAGTGGTAATATGAATTTCAACACCCTGCATATGCAGTTAACCTTGAAATAGAATGGCCTATTTTTCAGTCACCCGAGATCCCACGTGTAATGCGACATATATTAGTGGACATGAAAATCTTGAAGTGGGTGGCCAACTATTTAATCACATGGAAAATTCAAGGTTAACTCCATCTCCTACTTGTGTACCTATGTCCAACTAAGGAAGTATATGTATTCTGTCCATTGCAAAGGCAATAGAAACAGCTCTCAGCAAACCGTCATAGAAGTTGCTTGCAACATTACAAAAATTATATAATTCCACCTTGGTGACATCTCTCAATATCACCCTATGTTAGTTTATTTGCTGAAACATTTTGGTTATTTGTTTTATTCCTAAGATTGATTTTTTTTTAATTGATTATTCTTGGGATGTGCGTGTCACTGGCAAGGGTAGCATTTACTGCCATGTCTGATTGCTCAGGGTACAGTTAAGATTCAACCATATTACTGTGGATTGGAGTTGAATGAAGGCCAGATTAGGTGAGGATGGCAAATTTCCTTCCCTAAGGGACAGTACTGAATCTGATGGGAATATATTCCCATCAACAATGGTCAACATTAGGCAAGCTTTTTACTCCAGATTTTATATTGAATACAAATTTTATTATCTACCACAGTGGGATTTCAACCCATCCCCATAGAACATTAGCTTGCATTATTAACCCAGTGATATTACCACGAAGCATCTCAATCAACTTTTGAGTGTTATCCACATTAATCGCTCGTTGAAAGATCTGCTAAACATGTTTTATTTCACACCAGGTCCCATTTACTAGCTAACCCTGTACTTGCAGATATACTTTGGCTTCTAATCAAACAGTGTCTTATTTAAAACTCTTATCATTTAGTTTTGCTTCTGTTGTCCCTTGCTACTCCAGTCTCTTCTCGCTGCACAATGGTCCATGGTATTTAGTTGTTATCTCAGTCATTTAATTCTGCTGTATTCTGCATTTGGTTATGTCAATGTTAAACATGGACTATCAATATTCAGCTTGCATCATTCACAGATTAGGTGGATTAGACATTGTAAATAAGGGGGTAACCAGGATAGGGAGGGGTAGCTGGGTCTGGGTGGGCTGGTCTTTGGAGGGTTGGTACAGACTGGATGGGCCAAATGGCCTCTTTCCACATGATAGAGATTCTGTGATCATCTGGTTTTAATACTTAAGCTATTCATGGACTAAAATGGCCTTTAAAAAAGACCAATATTGACCCTAAATGGCTGTTGTGATCACCTGACCAAGTTGAACCAAGTCCTTGAATTTTTTTTAATGTTATGGTTCAAGCCAGAGAAATCAGAAGTAAGCTTTTGCACGATGTGACTGCTGTCTATTGTATTCTGTGGTTTGTGAATGATTGCTGCCATTCTGAAAAAAAATCTGATCTATTCCATTGGTTTTGTTTGTTGTGCTTGGTACCTACTAAAGTGAAGTAGTCTTTGATTGTGATAACACAGTGTGGAGCTGGAGGAACACAGCAGGCCAGGCAGCATCAGAGGAGCAGGAAAGCTAACGTTTTGGGTCGGGATCCTTCAGATTGTGTCTTGTTTGTTTAGTTGGTTAATAAAGCCAACTGAATTCTGATGTGGTTGATTTATGGTCAGTTTGAGACATAAAATGCTACAGATAAACTCTAGACAGCAGACATTGCAGATGATGTTCTCAAGTGGCCGAGAATAAAGTAGCAGCCTTAATCAGTTGACCTATTTGTATTATTGTGTTTCCTACAGGACAAAAACTTAATCATAAGACCTTGGCTGATATGTTGAATACTCCTCCTGGCCAGGCAGGTGAAGGAGGAACAAAAGAATGGACTATTTCCTTGCCAAAGACCCAGCTACTACCAAACTTATTGAAAGATGCCTTGGAAAAATTCAGGTGTGTTACTCATAAGATTCGGAATCAAATTATGAAGAAGTTTGCACACACATTGTTTAATTGAAACTGGATTGTGCAGTAACAATGAAGAACTTCTGCTTTCCATTTTAAACCCCCCCCCCTTTCCTTTTATTTATTAATGGGATGAGGACGTCACTGGCTAGGCAGCATTTATTGTCCATCCTTAATTGCCCGGGGGCAGTTCAGAGTCAACCACATTGAATCGTAGAATCCCTACAGTGTGGAAACAGGCCATTCAGCTCAAAGAGTCCACACCGCCCCTCCGAAGAGCATCCCACCCAGGCCCATTCCCTTACCCCTGCATTTCCCATGTCTGACCCACCTAACCTAAACATTCCTGGGCACTATGGCCAATCCGCCTACCCTGCACATCTTTGGACTGTGGGAGGAAACCGGAGCACACGGAGGAAACCCAAACAGACACTGATATTGCTGTGGGTCTGGAGTCACATGTAGGCCAGACCAGGTAAGGATGGCAGTTTCCTTTCCTAAAGGACATTAGTGAACCAGATGGGATTCTCTGACAATTAACAGTAGATTCATGGACATCGTTAGGTTCTTAATTCCACATTTTAAAAATTGAATTCAAATTCCACCATCTGCTGTGGCGGGATACAAACCCAGGTCCTCAGAATGTTATCTGGGTCTCGGGATTAACAGTCCAGTTATAATACCACTAGGCCATTGCCTCCCCTGTATCTACTTGCCCAGCTGGCTGTATATGGCCATATTTGAGTTTAAGTGGTCTGTCTTCATCCCGAGCAATGTTCATATCTATTCTTAAACTATAGTATTTTCCTGTCTAGTTTCTGTTTGATCCAAACACTTTGCACCCAAATGGACATTTACCAAGTGTATGGCACCTAAGTATATTTCTCGATCTCCCCTTTCACCTGAGGCATGGTGACCCCCAGGTTAAACCACCATTAGTCAACTCTGTCTAATGAGACCAGCCCTATGGTCTGGTAAGATTATGGCGACTTTAGCTTTACATTAAAACTTATTTTAGTAGACTACCAAAAAGTTTCTCTTAACATATCCATTTCTTGATGCAGATATCAGTGTTTCATTTTGCAGAACGAGTGCCACATTTGAAAGAATAGAGCTGAGGAAATGGTGTTTAGACAATACGTATCTTACATAGGACACAAAACAGTACAGCACAGTACAGGCCCTTCGGCCCACAATGTTTTGCCAACCTATTATCTTACTCCAAGATCAAACTACCCTGCATAACCTACATTTTACATCCATCTGATTCACTGATGCCCTTCAGGGAAGGAAATCTGCCACCCTCCCCTGATCTGGCCTACATGTGACTCCAGACCCACAGCAATGTAGTTGACTCTCAATTGCCCTCCGAAATGGCGTAACAAGCCACTCAGTTGTACCAATCGCTACAAAGACTCAAAGAAATGAAACTGGACGGATCACCCGGCATCAACCTAGGCACCGGAAAAGACAACCATGCAAAGTCCTCCTCACTAACATCTGGGGGTTAGTGCCAAAATTGGGAGAGCCGTCTCTCAGACTAGTGAAGCAACAGCCTGACATAGTCATACTCACAGAATCATACCTTACAGACAATGTCCCAGACACCACCATCACCGTCCCTGGGTATGTCCTGTCTCACCGGCAGGACAGACCCAGCAGAGGTGGCAGCACAGTGGTATTCAGTCAGGAGGGCGTTGCCCTAGGAGTCCTCAACATTGACTCCAGATCCCATGAAGTCTCATAGCTTCAAGTTAAACATGGGCAAGGAAACCTCCTGCTGTTTACCACATACCATTCTCCCTCAGCCAATGAATCAGTACTCCTCAATGTTGAACAACACTTAGAGGAAGCACTGAGGATGGCAAGAGCACAAAATGTACTCTGGGTGGGGGATTTCAATGTCCACCACCAAGAGTGGCTTGGCTGCAGTACGACTGATCGAGCTGGTCAGGTCCTAAAGGACATAGCTGCCAGACTGGGCCTGCAGCAGGTGGTGAGGGAACCAACAAGAGGGAAAAACATACTTGACCACATCCTTACTAATCTGCCTGCTGCAGTTGCATCTGTCCATGACTGAATCTGTAAGAGTGGCCATTGCGCAGTCCTTGTGGAGACAAAGTCCCGTCTTCACATTGAGAGCAACCTCCATCGTGTTGTGTGGCACTATCACCGTGCTAAATGGGATAGACTTTGCACAGATCTAGCAGCTCAAGACTGGGCGCCAATGAGGGGCTGTGGGCCATCAACAGCAGCAGAATTGCACTTCAACACAATCTGTAACCTCATGGCCTGGCATATACCCCATTCTACCATTACCATCAAGCCAGGGGATCAACCCTGGTTCAATGGAGAGTGCAGGAGGGCATGCCAGGAGCAGCACCAGGCACACCTGAAGATGAGGTATCAACCTGGTGAAGCAATCAAACAGGACTACTTGCACGCCAAACAGCGAAAGCAGCAAATGATAGACCGAGCTAAGCAACCCCACAACCAATGGATCAGATCTAAGCTCTGGCACATCCAGTCGTGAATGGTGGTGGACGATTAAACAACTCAACTGGAGGAGGAGGCTCCACAAATATCTCCATCCTCCATGATGGAAGAGCCCAGCACATCAGTGCAAAAGATAAGGCTGAAAGCATTCGCAGCAATCTTCAGCCAGAAGTGCCGAGTGGATGATCTGTCTCGGCCTCCTCTAGTGGTCCCCAGCATCGCAGATACCAGTCTTCAGCCAATTCGATTCACTCCACGTGATATCAAGAAACGGTTGGAGACACTGGATATTGCAAAGGTTACAGGCCCTAACAACATTCCGGCAATAGTACTGAAGACTTGTGCTCCAGAACATGCCGCTTCCCTAGACAAACTCCTGTACAGTTACAACACTGGTATCTACCCGACAATGTGGAAAATTGCCCAAGTATGTCCTGTACATAAAATGCAGGACAAATCCAACCCGGCCAATTACCGCCCCATCAGTCTACTGTCCATCCTCAGTAACGTGATGGAAGGTGTCATCAACAGTGCTTCCAAGCAGCACCTGCTCAGCAATAACCTGCTCAGTGATGCCCAGTTTGGTTTCTGTGAGGGCCACTCAGCTCCTGACCTCATTACAGCCTTGGTTCAAACATGGACAAAAGAGCTGAATTCCAGAAGTGAGAGTGACAGCCCTTGATATCAAGGCTGCACTCGCCCGAGTGTGGTATCGAGGAGCCCTGGCAAAACTGGAATCGATGGGTATCAGGGGGCAAATGCTCCGATGGTTGGAGACATACCTGACACATCGGAAGATGATCGTGGTTGTGGGAGGTCAAGCATCTCAGCTCCAGGACATCTCCACAGGAGTTCCTCAAAGTAGCGTCTTAGGCCCAACCAGCTTCAGCATCATTCACCACTCCTCAGAAACTGAAGCAGTCCATGTTCACATGCAACAAGATCTGGACAATATCCAGGCTTGGGCTGACCAGAGGCAAATGACATTCGCGCCACACAGATGCCAGGCTATGACCATCACCAATAAAAGACAATCTAACCATCGTCCCTTGACATTCAATGGTGTTACCATCACTGAATCCCCTGCTATCAACATCCTGGGGGTTACCATTGACCAGAAACTCAACTGGAGTCACCACATTAACACAGTGCCTACAAGGTCAGGCCAGAAGCTGGGAATACTGCAGTGAGTAACTCACTTCCTGACTCCTCAAAGCCTGTCCACCATCTACAAGGCACAAGTCAGGAGTGTGATGGAATACTCCCTACTTGCCTGGATGAGTGCAGCCCCAGCAACACTCAAGAAGCTTGACACCATCCAGGACAAAGCAGCCCGCTTGACTGGCACTACATCCACAAGCATTCACTCCCTTCACCACCAATGCTTAGTGGCAGCAGTGTGTACTATCTACAAGATGCACTGCAGAAATTCACCAAAGATCCTCAGACAGCACCTTCCAAACCCACGACCACTTCCATCTAGAAGGACAAGGGCAGTAGATATATGGGAACACCACCCACCTCCCAAGTCACTCACCATCCTAACTTGGAAATATATCACCGTTCCTTCATTGTCGCTGCGTCAAAATCCTGGAGTTCCCTCCCTAATAGCATTGTGGGTCAACCCACAGCAAGAGGAATGCAGCGGTTCAAAAAGGCAGCTCACCACCACCTTCTCAAGGGCAACTAGGGATGGGCAAGAAATGGTGGCCAGCCAGCAACGCCCACATCCCACAAAATGAATAGAAAAAAAATTGTGCCTATCCAAGGGTCGTGTAAGTGTCCCTCATGTATCTGACTCCACTACCACTGCTGGCAGTGCATTCCATGCAACCAACAACTCTGTGTAAAGAACCTACCTCTGACATCTCCCCTATACCTTCCACCAAGTCACCTTAAAATTGTGCCCCCCCCCATAATAGTCATTTCTGCCCTGGGATAAAGTCTCTGGCTATCAACTCTATCTATACCCCTCATCAATTTGTACACCTTTAAGTCAACTCTAATTCTTCTTTGCTCCAATAAAAAGCCCTAGCTTCCTCAACCTTTCCTCTTAAGACCTGCCCTCCAATCCAGGCAGCATCCTGGTAAATCTCCTCTGCACCCTGTCAAAAGCTTCCACATCCTTCCTTTCATAAGACGACTAAAACTGAACACAATATTCCAAGTGTGGTCTAACCAGGGTTTTATAGAGCTGCAGCATAACCTCACTGCTCTTAAACTCAATTACCCTGCCAATGAAAGCCAACACACCATACGCCGCCTTAACAACCCTATCAACTTGGGTGGCAACTTTGGGGGATCTATGGATGTGGACCCCAAGATCTCACTGTTCCTCCACACTGCCAGGAATCCTGCCATTAACCCTGTATTCTCCATTCGAACTCGACCTTCCAAAATGAATCACTTCACACCTTTCCGGGTTGGATTCTGTCTGCCACTTCTTTGCCCAGCTCTGCATCCTGTCAATGTCCTTGTGCAACCTACAGCAGCCCTACACACTATCTACAACTCCACCAACCTTTGTGTCATCGGCAAACTTACTAACCCACCCTTCCACTTCCTCATCCAAGTCATTTATAAAGATCACAAAGAGCAGAGGTCCCAGAACAGATCCCTGTGGAACACCACTGGTCATCGAGCTCCAGGCTGAATATTTTCCATCTACTACCACCCTCTGTCTTCTATTTAACAGCCAATTCTGTATCCAGACAGCCAAGTTTCCCTGAATCCCATGCCTCCTTACTTTCTGAATGAGCCTACCATGGGGAACCTTATCAAATGCTTTGCTAAAATCCATGTACTCCACAACCACTGCTCTACCTTCATTAATATGTTTTGTCACATCCTCAAAGAATTCACTAAGGCTTGTGAGGCATAACTTGCCCCTCTCAAAGCCATGCTGACTATTTCTAATCAAACTATGCTTTTCCAAATAATCATAAATACTATCTCTGAGAATCCTCTCTAATAATTTGCCCAGCACAGAAGTAAGACTGACTGGTCTGTAATTCCCAGGATTATCCCAATTCCCTTTCTTGAACAAGGGAATAACAACGTTTTCCACCCTCCAATCATCTGGTACTACTCCAGTGGACAGTGAGGACACAAAGATCATTGCCAAAGGCGCAGCAATCTCTTCCCTCGTTTCCCGTAGTAACCTTGGGTATATCCCATCTGGCCCAGGAGACTTATTTATCCTCAGATTATTCAAAATTTCTCGCACATCCTCCTTCCTAATGTCAACCTGTTCGAGCATATCTACCTGTTTCATGCTGTCCTCAAAAATGTCAAGGTCCCTCTCACTGGTGAATACTGAAGTGAAGTATTCATTAAGGACCTCCCCTATCTCTTCTGACTCTATGCACATGTTTCCTCCACTATACCTGATCGGCCCTACTCTCACTCTGGCCATCCTCTTGTTCCTCATGTAAGTATAGAATGCCTTGGGGTTTTCCTTAATCCTACCCGCCAAGGCTTTTTCATACCACCTTCTAGCTCTCGAAGTTCCTTCCTGGCTACCTTGTAGCCCTCTAGAGCCCAGTCTGATCCTTGCTTCCTCAACCTTAAGTAAGCTTCCTTCTTCCTCTTGACTAGATGTTCCACATGTCTTGTCATTCAAGGTTCCTTCACCTTACCATCCCTTCCTTACCTCAGTGGGACATACTTATCCAACACTCGTAGCAAGTGCTCCCAAAACAACCTCCACATTTCTGTAGTGCATTTCCCTGAGAACATCTTTTCCTAATTTATGCTCCGTAGTTCTTGCCTAATAGCATTGTAATTCCCCCTCTCCCAGTCAAATAACTTCCCATTCTGTCTGCTCCTATCCCTCTCCATGACTAACGTAAAGGTCAGGGAGTTGTGATCACTATCACCAAAAAACTCTCCCACCAAGTGATCTGACACCTAGCCTGGTTCATTGCCAAGCACCAAATCCAATATGGCCTCCCTTCTAGTTGGCCTATCGACATATTGAGTCAGAAATCCTTCCTGGACACATCTGATAAAATGTGCTCCATCCAAACTATTTGCACTTAGGAGATTCCAGTCAATATTAGGAAGTTGAAGTCACCCACGACAACAACCCTATTACTTCTGAGATAACAAGGTGTAGAGCTGGATGAACACAGCAGGCCAAGCAGCATCAGAGGAGCAGGAAGGCTGACGTTTCGGGCCTAGACCCTTCTTCCCTATTACTTCTGCACCTTTCCAAAATCTGCCTCCCAATCTGTTCCTCAGTGTCTGTGTTGCTGTTGGGGGGTCTATAGAAAACTCCCAATAACGTGACTGCTCCTTTCCTGTTTCTAACTTCCACCCATACTGACTCAGTAGACAAACCCTCCTCGACGACATCCCTTTCTGCAGCTGTGATACCATGCCTGATTAGCAATGCCACTCCCCCCACCTCTTTTATCTCCCTCCCTATTTCTTCTGAAACATCTAAACCCCAGAACATCCAACAACCAAGTGTTATCCAAGTCTCCGTAATGGCCACAACATCGTGGCTCCAAGTACTGATCCATGCTCTAAGTTCGTCACCCTTATTCCTTAACTTGTGTTAAAATAGACACACTTCAACCCATCGCACTGACTGCAACTTGGCCCTATCGATTGTCTATCCTTCCTCACAGACTCTCCGCATGCTGTATCTGCCTGCACACCAGCTACCCCATCCTCTGATCCATAGCTCTGGTTCCCACCCGCTGCCAAACTAGTTTAAACCCTCCCGAAGAGCTCTAGCAAACCTCCTGCCCAGGATATTGATGCCCGTCCAGTTCAGGTGCAACCCGTCCTTCTTGTACAGGTCCCACCTTCCCCAGAAGATATCCCAATGATCCACATATCTGAAGCTCTCTCCCCTACACCAGCTCTGTAGCCACGTGTTCAGCTGCACTTGCTCTCCATTCCGAGCTTCACTAGCCTGTGGCATTGGTGGTAATCCTGAGATTACTACTCTGCTCGTCCTGCCTTTTAGCTTCCAACCTAACTCCCAATATTCACTTTTCAGGTCTTCATCCCTTTTCCTAGTTTTGTATTGGTACTGATGTGTACCACAAATTCTGGCTGCTAACCTTAAGAATCCTGTAGACTCGATCCGAGACGTCCCTGACTCTGGCACCCGGAAGGTAACATACATCTCGCTCGGTACCACAGAATCTCCTGTCTGTTCCCCTAACCATTGAATCCCCTATCACTATCACTATCTTATTCTTCCCCCATTTCCTTCTGAGCCACAGAGCCAGGCTCAGTGCCAGAGACGTGGCCGCTATGGCTTTCCCCTGGTAGGCCGGCCCCCAACAGTATCACAGGGTGGTGGGCTCTCGATCGCATCTCTTGTGTTTCCTGCACCTCTGCCCTCTCGTCCCCTCCCTGCAACAAAAACAAAGACAGAATTCTCCTTGTCGCCTCACATCACCCCACTGACCTCCATATCCAACGTGTTATTCTCCGCCACTTCCGTCACCTACAATCCAACCCCATAATCAAAGATATATTTCCCTTCCCACCCTTATCTGCCTTTTGTAGGGACCGCTGTGTCCGCGACTCCCTCGTATGCTCCACATTCCCCACTAACCCCACCACACCCAGCACCTTTCCCTGTAACAGCAGGAAGTGCTACACCTGCCCCTACACCTCTCCCCTCACATCCATCCAAGGCAACAAACAAACCTTCCATATCAGACAGAGGTTCACCTGCACATCTGTCAATGTGATCTATTGCATCCACTGCTCCCGATGTGGCCTCCTCTACATCATTGAGGCCATGTGGAGGCTCGGAGACTGCTTTGTAGAGCACCTGCGCTCTGTTCACGACAAATGATAACACCTTTCAGTCGCGAACTGCTGCCGTTCCATTCTCACTCCCTGGACGACATGTCCATCCTGGGCCTCCTCCAGTGTCATAATGACACCACCCAGAAACTGGAGGAGCAGCACCTCATATTCTACCTTGGGAGCCTACAACCCAATGGTCTGAATGTGGACTTTCCTAGCTTCAAAATCTCCCACCCCTGGCCTCATCCCGTGACCAACCCTCCCTCTCATCCCCACCTCCTTGACCTGACACAACCTGTCCATCTTCTCTCCCACCTATCCGCTCCTCCCACCTCACTGACCAATCCCCACCACTGCCTACCTGCACTCACCTATCACCACCCCACCTACCTTCCCCAGCCCCACCCCTCCCCTCTATATTTATTTCTGAGCTCTCTTCTTCCCCCCCCCCCCGCCCCGCCCCACCATTTCTGAAGAAGGGTCACGACCCGAAACATCGGCTTTCCTGCTCCTCTGATGCTGCCTGACCTGCTGTGTTCCTCCAGCTCCACACTGTGTGTTATCTTTGACTCCAGCATCTGCAGTTCTTACTATCTCTGTGTGTAAAGGTTGCTTCTCAGGTCTCTTTTTAAATCTTTCTCCTCTCACTAAAAAAAACACCCTCTAGTTTTGAACTCACCAACCCTAGGGAAAAGACCTTTGTTATTCACCTTATCTATAGCCTCATGATTTTATAAAACTCTATAAGGTCACCCTTCAACTTCCTACGCTTCAGTGATAAAAGCCCCACTCCTTATAACTCAAACTGTCTAGTCCTGGCAACATCCTGGTAAATCTTTTGTGAACCACCTCCAATTTAGTAATATTCATCCTATAGCAGGGCGGTTAGAACTGTACACAGTACTCCAAAAGTGACCTCACCAGCGTCCTGTACAACCTCAACATGATGTCCCAACTCCTGTACTCAGTGTCTGCGCAATTAAGGCAAACATGCTAAATGCTGTCTTAACCACCCTCTCTACCTATGATGCAACCTTCTAGCATCTGCTTTTCTTTTGGTTTTTCTCATAGAAGATATGCCTGAATTCGTCCTGTAGCTATGAACTGGATGAGGACTCTGGTGGTCTGAAAATTGTTCAAAGCCCAGTAGATTTAGCTGTACATTTCCTGTGCCCTGACCTGGCATGAAGAATAACAATGTGAATCCCACAATCATTTATTGTTTTCCAAAGAACTATGCACCTGAACCCCTAAATCTCTATTTGTTCGACAACACTAGCAAGGGTCCTACTTTTAATTGTATAAGTCCTGCTGTTTTGTTTTACCAAATGCAATACCTCGCATTTGTCCAAATTAAACTCCATGTGGCACTCCTCAGTTCATTGGCTCAAATGATCACGATCCCTTTGTAATCTTAGATAACCTCCTTCACTGTCGACTATACCACCAATTTTGGCGTTTGACGTGTCCTCCATCAGTGCCATAACTGAATAACTATCCTCCCAGAATTTACCAGTTTGTTTTTTTACATGTAATTTATTCTCAATCAGTGAGGAGCACCATAAGGAAGTTGTTGGACTGCAGCTGGCCATGATCCATGAATTTCACATTCAGCAGGTATGTCTCCAGTTCTTAGTCTTTGAAGGACACTGTGGTGATGGGGATTCTACTTGTGCAGCACAAAACTAGTGGACCATATGGGAGTCTGACACTTGAACACATTCTGTACTTTGTGCACATTATATCTGAGTCCGTGGAGTAAAATGATCCAATTCAACAAACCTAGGGTGCCGCAAAGGCATAACATGTTCATACGTGCAATCTGTTTTGTGAAATGAGAGAGACTGACCTAACTGAGTTATAGATCCACAGATTACTTTTGCTGCTTAAGGCTAGAACCAGACTGGAGAATGTATGTATCTTGTGTGATGTTGTAGAGTGGTTTCTCATTATTCAAATCACTTATCAACTGTACAAAAACACTGTTGGAACTGGTTATATTAGAACAAACATTTGCAGAAAGGGACTATGTTAAAGGAGTTGTCTGACTTACAGAAGGGTGTATGGAAATTATGTATCAGGCATACACTGCAGAAAAAGAGAGACCTCGAGGTAAGGTGTGAAGAAAAAGATGCATAGTGTGTGTGAAATAATTTCTATGAAATGACTGGTTATGTGAATGAACAATTCTGTAAATTTCAACATGTGCTTTAAATTTTAAAGTCTTTCTTTCAATCTGTTCCAAGCTGATCAGTGTATTCTCCAAATTTGTGGTAAATCTGCAAAAAAAGGTGAAATTTGTAGATTCCATAGAACAAGATTTGGCATTGCATTTGTCAGCTGGTAAGAATGACTGACTGAATGAATATTTTGGGTCATGCATCTTCCAAAAGAGTTCACTTCATTTTAAAGTTCTGAAGAAGAGTCACTGGACCTGAAACATTGACTTTGACTTTGGTTTCTCTCCACAGATATTATCAGACCTGCTGAGATTTTCGAGTAATTTCTGTTTTTGTTTCTAGTTTCTGGCATCTGCAATTCTTTTATTTTTTCTCATAGAAGACATGCCTGAATTCATCCTATAGCTATGAGCTGGATGAGAACTCCAGTGGTCTGAAAATTGTTCAAAGCCCAGTAGATTTAGCTGTACATCTCCTGTGCCCCTGACCTGGCATGAGGAATTCCACAATCATTTTATGATTTTCCAAATGCTGAGTCCAGATAGTTTTCATTCAGATAGCTTGCATTCACGAACCTGCTTCCTGGATCAGCCCGTAAAGGAAACCAAAGCTGCACAATCTTTCAGAATCTGAGAACTATTTCTCCAGAGATTTAAGTGTGTTTGTTATAAAACTTGATAATTACCTTTCCATTAAATGGCTGATATTGATGTAAAAACTCTATCCAGCTTCTGTTTATCTTTGCAGAACTCTTAGGACTCTTCTTAAATTGATCATTTTTGGAATGACTTTTGTCCTGTGAGCTACTGAGTAACTATTTATTCAACCATTTTAAATAGACAAGCTACATTTATATGAAAAGCCTCTGGAACATGGAGCAGCTGTTTAATAATGTGGATTGTTTTGTTTTCAGCATGCAATTGATGAAGCAGTACTTAAGCACTTAAAAGTCAGTGAAGAATTGTTGGGGGAATATGTGATCTTAAAGGAAGAAAATGAACGACTGAAAGTGTTTAACTGATGTACATGTGTAAACCTGAGGCAATGTAGTCTGTATTCCAAGCCATAGTAATGAGGAGCTCTGCTCGATCAAGTTTGAGCCAAACTTGACTACAATCAGTCTATCTTCACCTTTATTTCAAACCCTTGAAAAATTGAAATGGGAGAAATGTCCCGCTTTAATTTCTTTAAAAAAAAATGCTGCTTTTCTGTTGTGATTTGGATCATCTGTTTCTGTACACAATTAAAAGTGACTGCCCATATAGAAAGATAAATTTTATAATTCTGTCAGGGTAACGAGAGCGTGCCCTTCCGTGGATTTGGAAAAATGACTCCCCACTACTAAAGTAGGCATAATTTACACTGGAATATTTGGTTACTGTTTGTTTGCTGGCTATCTGTATGTACACAAAGTGGATGCAAGTAGCTACTTCATAATGGTTACGTGCAGTGAGTGAGTTCAGCGGCAATTTATTTTTCATTGAGTGTTCCATTTTTTGATATTTGAAAAAAATTACATACGTCAGAAATGCATTGATCAGTGTGTGATTAGGTAACTGTTTTTCAGAATGTCTCTGTCTCTTTCCTATGTAATGGGGTATAGGGATTCAGTATTTTGTAGGACTGTGAAGAATAGCTCTGTTTTGAACTTGTGGAATTTACTGTAAGTGCCAACAAGTAACAATGAATCTTTCACTGTATCCCATCAATTGAAAAACTGTTGTGGTTTTCAATGTGGATGTAATGACGTTTTTATCGATGGCTTCTAAGCAGCCATGGGAAGGAAAATTGATTATTTTGTATGTTGCCTCCAAGTCTTTTATGTTGTAGAAAGATGTAGGGAGAAGGTGGCAGCACTTGACAAATTATTACTTGAATGGAAACATCTCTTGCAAGTGCTAGCTTTTTTTCAAGCTGTATATAGTTTGTGTCAATTTGGGCTGTTTTTCTGTAACATTGTTTGTGAGGCAGTTATATCTGGCCTTTTTATGTCTTTGCATTGGAGTGAAGGAATTCAACTTGTTTTGTGGTGTCCTTAGATCTCATCAGATACCTGGTTGCTTGGATTCACTTTATTGAGGCAATCTAATGTTTTAACAATAATGTAACAACTCGGCTGGATTACTCACGTAGTTGGCCAGAATTAAGTATATTTGTATCACCATTCTTTAACAAGGGATATTTTAAAAATAATCTAAATAGTTGGGATTTATATTGATTTCTGTTTTCTCTTGGATGTTAGTTTACATCCTCCTTTGCCTTTTTATATATGCTTCCTGTCGTCTTCAATATTCTAAAATTGAAGATAAATAATGAAATGAGCAATCAATGTGGAATTTTTAAATGGCTTTTGTTCTGATATCATGCTATTTTCTTTTTCACAATGGTTTCAATAATTAAAATATTTGGATTAAAGATTGTGGATTGATAATTAAAATACATATGCCTGTAATCTTTGTGCTTGACCTTTTCTGTCCAAATCTGTGTTGTCTGAGGATTTTTGTCCAAAGATTTTTCTGGCATGACTCTGATTTAATGGATGCTGATGGGGTCAGTACAAATGTGAGCCCATTACAGGAGGGGACTGGAGACGTGGAGATGGAGAACAGAAAAATGGCAGCGAAGCTAAAGAGTTATATTGCATCAGTTTTCATAAAAATGATATAGAAAATCTCTCAAAAACTAGGGACCTAGTGAAACTGAGGAACTAAAGTTGACTGGATTGAAGTTTGTTAAATTTCCCTGGAACAGATGAGCTTTTTACCAGACTATTAAAAGAGGTGGCTGAAGAGGTAGTTTATGCATTGGTGATAATTTTTCAGAATTCATAGATTCTCAAAAGGTTCCTGAAGGCTGGAAAATAGCAAACGTAGCCTGACTATTTAAGAAATGAGGAAGAGGGAGAATAGAGATCTACACAGTAGTAGAGAAAATGTTCAAATCTGTTATCAAGGTATGATGATTGAACATTTATAATAAAATTGACAAATTTGGGAAGATTTATGAGAGAGAAAACATGTTTTGACAATATCTGAAGATTTTTGAGGAAGTTACTTGTAGCATTGTTAAAGGAGAATCGGTGAATAAATTGAGGCCTTCCTTTAGTGTCTTGTTTTGCACTGGCAGTTGCTGAGTATGAGTTTTAAGGGGTAATGTTTTGTCTAAAGTCTAGATTGTGCTTTAATTTAGCAATTAAGGAATCATTACACTTTAAGTTTAAGAGATGTTCAGTTTTATTACAGACTTAATTCAGCGTGCATAAGCTCTGGCAGAAGTTGTAGCTTGTTAGTTTGTGGCTACTTTAGTCAGCTTTTTTTTTCCAGATTGAGTAGGTATAACTGTACCTCTCTTAGTAGGGCCACGACAGAACTTTGTGCTGCTTCGGTTGTATTGTGTAAAATGGGAGTTTGGTGAGCCTGAGCATGAATAAGTTCAGGAAGAGACAGGAGGAAGTGCTTCTTTCCTCTTCCACCTTTCCTCAGCCTCCTATAGTTGCTTCTGATTTGAGTACCTGTACGTTTTTCTAATATTCTATTTGTAAGAAATTGGTTTTTAAAATGAAGGGATGCAAGGTCAGCTCGGTTAAGTGAACTGCACCTCCAGTGGTATGTGTGAAGTTGTGGATGCGTCATGTATCCCAGAAGAACGCATGGGCAGGAAGTGATACTGCCTGCACAAACGTGATCTCCTAGTTTCTGAATTTGAGCAGTGGCTGGAATCAGTGTTGTGCATCATGAGGCAGAGGACTGTGTACTGCATATTTAGGGAGGCGGTCACATCACAGCTTAGAAGCATACAGGCAATGAAGATAGTCTAAAAGAATGAGGAATGCAGTGCAGGAGTCCCCTGAGTTGATCTTGTTTGCTGATTGATGTTCCATTTTTGACAGTGGTGAGAGGACAATGGTTCCTCAGGGAAGTGCACCCAGAGCCAAGATGGTAGTGTTACAAGTGGCTCAGCTGTATATAAAGGTAGGAAGGTGGGGGTGGGTGGTGGGGGAGATACAATAAGAATGAAAGATCATAAGTGATAGGGAATTCACAGTTATGGGATCAGATAATTATTTCTTTAGCCAATGACGTGACTACAGGATATATGTTGTTTTCCTGGTGCAGGGAAAAGAATATTACGGATTGGCTACAGAGCATTCTTCAGGTGGTGGGTGACCAGCCGGTGTCTGTAACCCACATTGGCGCCAATGATTTTGATAGGTCCTGAAAGCAGATTTTCAAGAACTAGGTCGGAGATTGAAAGGCAGGACCTCTAAAGCAACAGCCTCAGAATTACTCCCAGGCAGGTGTATCAGTGAGCATGGAAGTAGGAGAATTGAGTGACTTGAGCTGGAAAACTAGTGAAGGAGAAGAAGCGTCAGATTTCTGGGGCCTCAGGACCGGTTCTGGGGAAGATGGGACCTGTACAAGCTGAATGGCTGTTGCCTGAACAGGACAGGGATAAACATCGTTGCAGGAAAATTTGCTTGTGTTGAAGTTTGGGTGGGGTGGAGGGGCGTGGTGTTGAAATCAGATTGGTAGGGAGATGGGAACCTGAGGGCAAATTTGGAGCAAGGAATGGGCAGAAACTTCGTGAGTGACTCTGAAAGACAGGGAAGCAGAGATTAGAAAATGTACAGTGGTAGGGTATAGCAAATAAAGCCAATAAGCTGAGGACACTGGTAGATAACAGGAGTTCACTACTATAGCAGAAACTTGGCTTAATGAAGCAAAAGGATGGCAGCTTCAGAACTGCTGGCGCTCTTGATCTTCAGCATTATTAGCCTGCCCCCATAACTTAACAGACAAATCCATCCCTCTTTCCTGAATTTCTGGACTATAACTAATCTCCAATTAAATGTACCAGCACAGAGGGAAACACATTGTGGTGCATTGTGATGAAAAGCTGAGCTGAAATGTCTCTTCCATACTTGATGATATAACTATTCCTTTGTTAGGTACGAGTTTAAATTAATGACATAGCGTGCACTCTCCATTGTGAATATTTAATAAATGTTTCTTCTGAACTAATTGTGTGAAAATCTAAAAGTAGTTTATCCCCAACATCTCTTGCACGAGGTAAAGGTTTTCAGTATGTGCAACAATTGGTGCTAATCTTGGCTTGTCCAAGAAAGCTATAATTTAAAAATAGCTTCTAATTATTGGATTGCACAGGCTAAGTTGACACATTGAGTTCCAAAGATAACACTTCATACTTGGAATATTCCGTCAGTAAAAAGTTGTTGCAGTTTTATACTCATGCTATCATTTAAATGATAGACTGCATTTGTGCATGCTAATGCTTTGTGACAAATATAATTTATGAATTTGCTTTGCATTTAAAAATATTTCCATCAAGTGCAGCAACTCATTCTGTTTAGTTTCTCAAAGCTACTAAAATGTAAATTCTGCTGCTTAATTTTTCTTCTCACTTCCTGCATGCTAAAACAGACAAGCCCCCAGTTTCATTCATCCAGGTTGCCCTATGAGCTGCCCCTCTCTTTCCAGACAGAATCACAATATTCCCATGAAGCAGTAATATATTTGCAATAAGCAGGCACTTAGCTATCTTTATATTCAAATTTGTCGTATCTTCCCATTATCTCCTCTTTACTGCTTGCATTTTGTTTCCATTTTGCAAATAATTCCTCCATGTTGCCTTTGCCATCTTTAGCTAACAGCCAATTTTGCAAGGTCTGTTCCAGTGCTAATCTTGAACTAGGTGTTGCATGGCAACGTTTGCTCACTTGATTGACATGCCCTTTTAATCCAAAAACAAGAAGGAAGCAGTAAATTCTTCTTTCAAAGCGGTGGGACGAACTTGAACACTACTCCAGAACTAAGTTTTTTAAAGTTCAACTGCGATTACTAGATAGAAGAGCACTTTTAGTTGCATAGCACCATTCACAATCTCAAATTGTTTTACAACTCAAGAAGTACTCACGATGTAGGGACACTGTTGAACGTAACAAATGTGGCAGCCGATTTTACAGTCAGCAAGGTCCCAAAAAATGTGATAGTGACCAGAGCACCTATATGATATAAAGCAGTAGGACTAGGCCCTTTATTCTGTCGAACTTCAACTAAGATTGACTTATCTCCTTATTGCCATTTTCCCATGCCACCTCCATAATCCTTTAATGATATTAGTTCTATAGAAACCCATTCATTTCAGGCTTGATCTTCCTTCATGATTGAAATTCCACAGTCCTCTGGGATAGAGAATTCTAAAGCTTCACCACCCTCTGAATGAAGAAGCTCCTCCTTAACTCTGTCTGAAATTGCCTGCCCCTTATCCTGAAATTATGTCCACTAGTTCTAATGTCACCAGCCAGAGGAAACATCCTATCCATATCCACACTGTCGTGCCCTGTAAGAATTTTATAAATTTCACTGGGAACACTTCATTCTTCAAAGATCTAGCGAATACAAACCGTTATCTCAATTTCACGTTGTAAAATAATCCTGCCATCACAGGGATTAATTGGCTAAACCTGTGTTGCACTTCCTGTATGGTGTCTAATCTCTTCGCATGGTGGGGGTGTCTACATTTTGTACTTTTCTCTTTGCCAAGGGGGTGGTGAGCAAATTTCAAAAAGGTCTGGGTTGCCAAAACAGTAACAACAAAAAAAAAAGCATATAGTTGATACATAAAGGAACCAGACAAAGAAATGCCAATGATTTCAAGGCCAAGGACCACATCCACCTCCCAGAAACACTTGTCAAATGTGTGGTGGGAGATGTAGCTCTTGGATTGAGCTCATCAGCCACGCAAGGACCCACAGAAACCCATGACCAGCGACACGGAATTTACTAGGTAGATGAGTGCCAACAATAACATTTTCTAAGAATAATTGATAGAAATGACATTTTTTCAAAGTGCCAGCTTAAACAGAAAGTATTTTTTCTTAGTCCTTTTGGTTCGGAAGCAACTAGTTAGAGAAGAAATATAAGCCCCAATTCAAGAGCAGCGGGATGGGGGATGACAATTCTTCCCTTTTCCCCCCAGCTCTCTCACCTCTGCCTCTCTTTCTCACCCTTTCCCCTTCTTGCTGCACATTCCCCCCCGCTCTCTCATCCCACTCATTATCCTGAAACGTTGACTTCTCCTTTCCTCCAGATGCTGTCCGGCTTTCTGTGTTCTTCCAGCCTCTTGTTTGTCTACCATGGATTCCAGCATCTGCAGTTTTTTATATTAAAGTGAAAGTGGCCAAGTTTTTGTTTCCTGGAGAGATTTGAAATCAATTTGGTATAAAACACAATTACTTTATTCAAGC